CAAAACTTGTGGGTACTCTAATACTGGAGGTTTTAAAGAAGAAATTGAACAATCATTTGTCTAAAATGGTATAGGTTTCCTGCTTGAACAGGGGATTGGATTGGAAAACCTCCCTCTTCCAACTCTGTTATTCTGTTCAGTTGGAAGGTGTGGAAATTACCTTTGCCTTTGGAAGTCTAAATTGCCCTCCACACTGGACTCCTTGCCCAAGGAGGGAAGTTTCTATTGATATCTATGGGAATATCCCTAACAAAACCAATACCAGAAATGAAAAGAAAGCCAAAAACTGAGGACTAGGGCAGTGGCAGAGAGTGAACAAGTTACCAAACCCCATGCTGTCTTCTAAATATGCACTAGATTTTGATTCCTTGAGAGTTATTGGGGATTTGGTTTTTTTAAAGCAGAATTTAAATGCCACTTAACAGCATATTCACTTTAACTGTAAGAAGACAATTCTAATAAAATACTGTGAATTTGATATTTGCATTTCAAATAATACCTTGTGTATGCACACTTGCACACAACCTGAACCAAATGACAGTTCCTCTCTTTAAGAACATGAGTTTCAAACCCTTCTCAGTCATTTATCTTAAACTCTGTGACATGTTACCTGGACTATGGCACTGCAGTCACAACACAAATAGTGACAGGATACTGTATGCCTGTCATTTTTTTTACATTTTGACACTTCAGGACAAAGAATCACCCTGAGCACAAACCTGCCTGTCATCTATATTATTTTTCTTATGCAATCTGCATTCTCTTAAGTAGAAACACTTTTCTGTTTGTAGAAAGATAAATTAAATCAAAATATTTATAATATTCTGACAATGCAGTTCAATTTTATTTCTTTTTTATATAACTATTGAATTACAAAAAAACAATAGACCATAAAGAAGCAAGAAGATAAACAATTTTTAAAAAGAGAAAGCCAGGAAAAAAAGTAAGGTAAAAGCGCAGAAAGGAAGAAAAAAGTAAAGAGAATAGAAAAAGAATTATTACTTTCTTTAGATAAAAGATACATCAAACTCTCAGATCAATTTCTTTCTGACTAAATCAGCCACACTCAATACCTAAGAGTAAAAGGATATCATGGCATCAAAGTACTAAAAACCAGCAAGTATTCTACCAGTTAAAAGACAGTAACTGGAATTGATTTTGCCTTTCACATTGTCTGTGTAGAATGCAGCTGTCAGGCTCCAAACTAAGAATGATACAGGGCAATGCTTCCAAGCTGAGTTCTTCATTGTTTCACACCTATAGACAAAAACTTACAAGACGGAGAACTCTACTATCTGCACGCACAATATACTTTCTGAACTATTAGGGAGGACTTGTCTTCACCATCTTTCTCTCACACATAATAACTGGGCTGAATTACCTCTTATTCCTCTGGCATGCAACCCCTTCCTCCTGGGGGTTCTACTACCTCACTACATTTCATAACAGAAACTGGGAATATACCTTCTAGATTGACAGCCCTTTATGTCGGACCAGCAAATGTGCATTTCTCTTCACCATCTCTTGAGTTACCGTAGAATATATTTCTATATCTAGCAACATCATTTGCATGTTGTCTTTCATTGATCTGCTTTCTTAAGCTTTTTTTTTCTCTTGCTTGCTTTACCAATACCACATTGCACTATGGAAAGACTTACGGAACCGATAAGATAACCTGACATGAAGGCTATCAGATTCCATTGACTCACTACAAGAAAATCTGATACAAAGGTTAAAAATTAGATTGGTTGAATACATTTTTTTCCAATTTGATCAGCAAGCTAATTTAGCAATTAATTAAGGAATTGAATGTATTTATACCAGCTAGAAAATTCCTTCTCCAAAATGAAATATATCATTACATATCCCAAATAGGATTTCAATATGTAAATAAGACAATCATATTAAATGCATGATGACAGACTTCAGTTTAGCTTACAGTATTATTATATGCACACATCAATATGATTATTAAGTTCCAAAAAAATAAGTCACCAAATAAATCAAGACTGTTGACATGAAGCCTATTAATATATAGGAGAATATAATAATTATCTCAAACACAAGAAGGTTGATGCATGACACTTCTTTCAAATTCTATTTTTTTAAAATGCATAATTCCATCTGAAAAGAACAAAACTAATATTCTTCAAAGACAAAGTGCTACTTTAGTTTTCATATATGAAATTTTAAACAAATTTTCTCATCAAATCCGACCAGACCAATTCTGTCTTTGCCATCAGCAGAGATTTTGCTAATAGTATGGATACCACTAAGGCTGTTAACCTATACACTTCTCTATCACTGAAAAAGTTAGTGTTATGCAGACACCTTGATTGACCAAAGCTATGATAGGCAATGGAAAGCAACATCCACAGTATGAGTAAATGGTAGAGCATGGATTAAATAAAGAAAATTAACTTTAAAAAGTATCTGCTTAAGTATGGCTAGAGATATATACATAAGAATTAAAACAAAAAGATATGATTGATATGGCTGTTTATGATAAAATATTGAAAAAAACCATTGAAGGATATATGGGATCAGGGATAAGAGAGGAGTATATGACATGGGACAAATTTTGTTAGATATCAGAAACATTGGTAATGGTTTACACCAAGGTCCTCTGTTCCGGCGGGAAGAAAGACTCAATCTTATTGGTCGAAGGGTCTGACAGCTCCCTATAAAAGGGCTGCTGTCAGACTGAACCTTCGCTGGATTGTACATAGTTGACTTGTGNGCACCTCCTCCTTTCTCAATTCCACCTAGGAGACTTCTTGGAGAATCCTTGCTGCCTGCTGTATTTTTATCAACCCCCCACCCACCCCCACCCCCGTGTACAGAGTTTTATAGCAAAGGCATGTGAGGGACGGCCTTGTTTCTTGGTAGGCATCCATCAGCAGCAGAAAGAAGCCCCTTGGTCTCCTGCTTAAAGCCCCAGGCTAGAAAGGCAGGGAGGAGGGAGGGTTCACTTCAGCCACGAAGGCCAGCTGGGTGGCCTTGGGTCAGCCCCACTCTCGGCCCAGCCCACCTCACGGGGGGGTGGGGGGGTGGTTGTTGTGAGGAACATGAAAGGGGGAGGAGGGTATGTTGGATTTGGTCACCACCTTGAGTTATTTGTAAAAATAATAAAGACATATAAAAAAACATTAGATCTGTTTGCCATCTTCAGTTTATTAAAAAAAAAATGAATTAGTATCCAAGATCTGTGAGGGATTCATTTTTTTTTCCAACCAATTTTTTATTTTTTATAATCTTTATACATATCAGTGAATGAATGGTGTGGTAACTGGGTAACATACATTTCAGTAAACCTAAGTGTAGTCTTATTATTCCTAAATATTACATTATTTCATATTATTTATACGTGCCTTTTATTATCACCTTTCATTTCTGAACCATCTTTCTATCCTTTTGTATATTTTAACATATTACCCTATTTTTCGGAGTATAAGACACACCCTTTCCCCCCCCAAAAAAGAGGGTGAAAATCTGGGTGTGTCTTATACTCCAAATGTAGCCCCAGCCACCCACTCCATGCATCGCATTTTCAGGTGGTTCCAGGCGGCGGGGGTCCCACTTCCACTTGCACTTTGACATCGGGCTTTTTGTCCTTTAAAAGCAAACCTTATCACCCTATGCACATTTAACTGGAGGGGGTGGGGTGGGGGCAAAAGAGGGACCTGGCACTGAAGGCTTCACTCCCGAGACACCCCTGTCTTCCTACCTATAACCGAAAGCCTGGCTTTCTCGCAGCAAAGCCCGATAGAGATGCATCACTCCGGTCCTCCTGGACGCAGCCATATCACAAACATATTGCCGTGCTTCCCAGCAAGACCCTTGCGCTTTTGCTGCTTCGGTCGGAGCCTGAAGCGGCCCTGGGGAGCATGTGGGTTGGGACTCGGTGAAGTGGGCATAGCGCAGGAGGTATAAGGCAGTTGCTGTGATCTCCGCTGCCGGGAACGCCTTCGTTTCAGATCTGCCGCCTTCTGCACACCCAGTTTAAGATCCACCACCCTCTTCCCTACATATTCATACAACAGGATAGCTTTATCATGGCATCCGTTTGAGCGGATGGTGGACTGCCTTTTTTTCTTGTTTTACTGCCCCCAAATTAAGGTAATTATACTTAATTATATATATATAATTAAGGTCTTATACTCTGGTGCATCTTATACTCTGAAAAATATGGTAATATATAATTATTATTATTCCCCACTATTTTCTGTCCCTATTTTAACTTCCCCTCTTTCATAACACTACAATATTCAAAGACGTGTTTTCCACCTATTTTGTTGTTTATATTTCCTTAGTTAAATCAAATTTCCATCCTTCATTCTTCCATTATTCAATATCTCCTTATACAATTTTAGTATCAATCATTTATACATTTAGAGTACTTCTATTCATATTCTTTCCAGTTCTTCAATCCATATAATTCTGTTATTAATACATATTTAGATTATTATATATTTATAGATATTTACCTAGTCGCCCATTAAGTTCTAACTTTCCACTATTTTTCATGTATTTATACATATTTACTAGTAGTCATTCAAAATCTATTTTTCCAATTCTTCATATCCATTTATATTAAAATATTATCCTGATATCTGTCACACTGCTAAAATAATAATACAACCTGTATAGTTCTAATAATAATACACATTATTGAAATATATTCATTAAAATATTATTTTACTCTTATTTTCTCTTACCCAACATGAACCTTTAATCTTATTTTATTTTTATTTTTCCTCCCACATTTGTCCCTTAAGTCTTTTATTCCCTCTATTTGACTATTCAATCTAACTTTTACTCCCAACTCTACCCTGTCTCACTGTCTAATTCCAGAACTATCCATCCCAAGGTAGATTCCCCCAGGGCTGCAGCAGAAGAGGGGCAGGTTCTGTACATGGCTTTAACTGGTGGAATTGGAATGTAGCAGTTGTGAGTTGTGGCTGTGGTTTGTTCCTCTGCAGCTGGAGCACTACCAAGGCCAGATGCCCGAGCTGCAGGAATACGTGGACTATGTGCGCGCTCTCAGTGAGGTCATCCAGCAGTGCTATCGCCCTCTGAGCCCCAGTGAAGAAAGTCTGGAAAACATGGTATGGTCCTCCTCTTGAACCCTGGTGGAGCCATGCCTTTGAGCAATTGGGAAGGGAAGAAGAGCTTGCCGGAATAAAGAAAGACCGTGCTTTCCAAGAGGTGCCGGGGGACTGAGTGGAGGGGCTCCCTGACCCTTCTTCACCTCCCTCCCCCCCCTGCACCTCCCCCTAGCTCTTGGTCTTCCGCGTTAGGGCAGAGTGGGGGGGGGGGGGGGGGGGGGGGGAGGGAGAGCCAGAAGCGGCAGATTCTTGCTTGGCTCCTTCTCCGGGAGGGGGCAGGGGCTATGCGTCCTTCTCTTGCAGCCATTCGGCCTCCATGGTGGGCTCCATCATTCTTGGGTGGATGACAGCTGCCTTCCCCTCCTCTTCCCCCTGTGGGACTCCTGATCCCTTCGGGGATGGCCACGTAGGGCCTGAGCCATCTCTCCCTCCTAGCTCTTAGACACCTGGGATGCTTTTGCGTACCAGCAGCGGGAGGTCTCCGACTTCATCGTTTCACGCCGCCTGAGCATCATTGCTGAGCTCAGCAGCTCCCTCCAGGAAGCCACTCGGGAGCTCCAGGAACTGCTGGCCACGGTCACCTTAGGCCGCTTCCAGGACCCGACCCAGAACCCTCGTGTCATGGAGGATGAGCTGATGCGAATCCTGCAGCACTTTCAGGCTGTGGTGGGACGTGTCACGGACCTCTGCCACTCGCAGCGGATTCTGACAGGTGGGGCGGCTGCCAGCCGAGTCCTACCGGGGGGGGGGAGGAGGGGGTTCCCCTGCGTGTGACAGGTGAGTCAGGGGTCTCCTGATGCCCTTTGCAGGGGGACGCACGGACTTCTCCCTCCTCACCGGGCAGCAGGAGGTCATCGAGATCCACATCCATGTCTGGCAGTTGTTCCGCATCGTTTCTGAGCAGATCAAGGAGTGGAAGTGCTTGGCCTTCGTCAAGGTGAAGGCGGAGGCGGAGACGCAGCCGGCTGGAGTTTGGCCCCTTCCCCGCCGTGTGTCCACAAACTTAACCGCTCTTTGGCATCCACAGTGCCAGCTCCCCTCTGGCAATGACGCCTGGAGGTCCTTTGGAGCCGGGATGCCATTCCAGCCTAGTCAGCCGTCAGGGTTTCATGCGGCAAGAAATCATTTCATTTGGCCAAAGTGTGCCGGTCACCTGCCCGCTCAGTTGTGTCAGGGAACTCGGCCAGGATGGAAAGGGTCAGGAAGTCGGCTTTGGCAGCTGTGCCTGATGGCCCCAGCCAACCTCCTCCCCCCCCCCCCTTCCATCTCCCCACGTGCAGTTCAGTGCCCCTCTGGCCCTGGAGAAGACGGAGGAGTGGCAGAAGGAGGGGGCCCGGCTAGAGTGCTCTCTGCCCAGCCACCACCGCGTCATACAGGCCTGCCTCTCGGCCATTGCCAACTTCCAGAAGTATCTGCCCTTGCTGCTGAAGCTCGGGAGCCACTTCCTGAAGGTCAGCTGCTGGAAAGAGATCTTCGCTGGTGAGGCTGACCTTGGAGTGCTGCGGAGGGGGCCAAGGATGGCCTCGGAGGACGGCTCTGGGCCTGTGGCTGAATCAGGGGGATTGGTGGCGAAGATGCCAGGCCGGAGAGGGCAGGCGGCCGAGTTGAGTGGGGCTGGACTGATTTAGGCCGTTCTCTGCTCTTTTCCAGTGATGGGTGCCAAGTGCCCAATGAATATGCAGTTCACTCTGGGCCAGCTCTTCTCCTACCCGCTGCTGGAATATAGCGATGCCATCTTCAGGGTGAGTGGCTTGGTACATGACTGGCCTGTCGCTCTGCTCGCTCCTGCTGGGCGGGGCTATGATGAAGCCCTCCTCTCCCTTGGCCATCAGGTCTATGCCCACGAGAAAAGCCGCCACCATGCTAGAGACACTCTCCTGCGTGTCCAGAGGACCTGGATGGCCAAGCAATTCCGTCTCGTCAATTTCATCCTCAACGTGCCGTACCAGGAACCGCAGCCGGAACGCTTCCGGCGCCCAATTAGCGGCCGCCAGCGTACGGCCAAGCTTGAGTACATCTCCAAGGACAGTGGCACTTTTGTGCTGTCAGGTGAGGCCCCTGAATGATGCCTGAGCGTTTGGGCTGAGCATGGCCCTGGGGAGCAGGGGCCTCTTACCTGTCCACCAGGCCCTTTCATGCTGCTTTGCTTGTTTCCTTCCTTTCTGGGCATGGAAGCCCATTGTCAGCTACTCTTTCCTGGTGGGAACCTCCCTCCCTCTTCCCCCTCACGTGAAGTGGCGGGGGAAAGAACATTGTGCTTAATTTGGGCCAAATGTCCAGACCACCCACCCTTCCTCTTGGGCTGCCCCCCAGATACCACTGAACTGAAGGCTGCTGTGGAGCAGAGCATCCTAATCCTCCAGAACATGATCCTGTCTCCCTTCTCCTCCGACATCCTGGAAGAGGCCAAGAGCTGGGCGTCCATCCTGCATGCTTTTGGTGAGGAAACAGGAGAGAGGGGCACCCTTGGGCTCGCAGAGTGAAGGAGGCCATTGGGCATCTGCAGTGCACGAGGGGTACCCATCACTCCGGATCCCTTTTTCTTGGGTGGGGGTGGGGGAAGCCAGCAGGAACGGAAGAGATGCTGGCCTGGCTCCGAGGCTGCCGAGCAGTGAAAGAGGAGGCCTCTTTTGACCTGGTTCCAAGTACAGTGTGCTGTGAGAACCCGGCCAGTTGCACACTCAGTGATCAGATACTTGGCCATATTGATTAATCATATTCATTAAAACCTTGGTAGATTTCCTTGATTGGATTAAAGTTATAACCAAGTCTTCCGCAAATGCTCGTAATCTGTATTCTTGGTGCCTAATCTTAATTCCCTGTAAATCNTTTTCGGACTCTTCCCCCCCCCCCCTAAGATAAAAGTCTTTCCAAGGTCATTCTTAGCTCCATCTCAGCTCTATTGTTTGGTCTAACAGAAGTCCAGATAAGGAAGCTGTCACACTGTGTAAATAACACTTTCAAATGAATTACAGGGGAAATTTTGGTAACAATAGTTCAAGTCCACTAGATGGCAGTGTAGCTTGTAGTTTGTGGCTTGCATTAGCTTTGTTAAAGCTTCCGTAGTAATTGCTAATTACTAATTGTTAAGATACAACAAAAAGCTAAAAGAAAACAAAAAACAGATCTTTAAAGCACTTTAGATTTAAATTCAATGTCCCCACAAGGTTCAAAATTAAAAATATCGACAGCAAAAAGAGGAGCACAAAGAGCCGATTTAAATTACAAGAAAGTCCAGCCCGGTTTCCAAAAGTAAAAAAAAGGAACAGAAAAATAATCTTTCAATCGGCAACATTTGTTCTCGCCGCTTTTCTCACTAGTCAGCCTTATTTTAAACTTATTTTAAGTTTCCAAATTTAGAGTGTTCTCTTTCCAACAAGAAAAAAAGATTTAAAACTAACACCAAACGACATGTTCTCATCCAAAAACGGGCAGATTTTTGTAAAAACAGTCAGTTTTTGCAAAAAAAGGGGGGCATACAGAGCCTTTGGGAGGCTTGTAAAGTTGTCCTGGGGGCTAGGGGGGGAAATGAGCAAAAACAACCGTGTTTTTTGCTCGTTTTTGCCCTCCCCAGCCCTGAGGAGCACTTTGCAAGCTTCCCAAACGCTCTGCACATCCATTTTTGCAAAGGGGACGAGGTTTCAGTAGGCAAAAAAATGCTGTATTCAGTGTATAATACACACCTAGATTTTCACCCTCTTTTTTGAGGGAAAAGGTGCATCTTATACTCTGAAAAATAGTAATTTATTGATCACCTCAATACTAAAAATATAAATATATATATATGCATCATCTCATAGTCAACCATACATTTATATACATGACAAATCAACTTATTTCCTCAGTTCAAATAATCTGAGTGTTCCATTCTTTTAACCCTTCACATATACCATCTATCAGCTACATATATTGCTTTAAGTATATATACTTAAAATAGTATTTTAAGTTGCTAAATATTTAAACTGTTGGTAGAACAAAAAAAATGACGGATATGTCTATGTAGTATCAAATGTCTTTAACAGTCTTATCTTATGGTACATTCCAATATCTCAGATTAGACTATAATCCTGGAATTTCCTATTGCTGTCTATTCAATTTTTTAATTATATTTGATCCTGATGAACTTCATTCAAGGTGAATTGATGTAAACATTTAATAATACAATATGATATTGGCTATGTGATTATATGTTATGAAAATGGAAAAATAAAAAACTTTATAAAAAAGAAGATGTTGTGTAGCTGAATATGGCATTGATTGAGAAGATAGATGCAGAGCTGAAATAGGCTTAAAAATGAAGAGAAATTCAGTTATTACAATGAAAATAAGATAATTTTTAATCTGCATCATCCTCAAAATAATAATCTAAGGGAATCTAAAGGTATTTTTTCTGGATTCAGTTAAAACTAAATTTTAATAAAGTAAAAGATTAAACAGAATTGCAGAAATCACTATAAGCTAAGATCCAATTAATTCAATGTTGGCTATGTTACAACCAAAATAAATCATCATCTTCATCTTTGAAGAACATACCCAGGTAGATTTTAATGTTTTACGATGTACTAAGTATCTACTATAAGTAGTTGTACAACTTAATTTTTCCACTGACAGCTCTTTCACGTTTAGTTTATAACTTGTAACTTGACGTTTTTGGCAAAGTACCAGTGAAGTACATTTTCTATTGTGCAATTTAAATATTATTCTAAAAAATTCTTCTAACTAAGGCATTGTTCAGATTTTTTGGTTGGAGGCAAACAGTGTCTATGCTGGTCCTAGTGAATTATACAAGTCAGAAGCTTCTTCCATTTGATTACATAATGACCAGTGGATTAATTTAGCAACTCAATCATGTCTAGCTTTGTAACCAGCTTGTGTGATTTTGCTGCATTGACGTATTAAATGTGAAACAGTTTCGACTTTGTTATTGCAAAGTCGGCAGTTTGGATTTTTGTATCTTTGCTTTCATGGCATTAGTTTGTAGTGCTTGTTCTTGAGCAGTGAATATTAAATCTTCTGTTTTTTTCTTGATGGTTTCCTATCTTAAGTCATGTCCATGTCAAGTTGTCATCACATTTTTCTTCAATGTTTAACAAGTGCTGTCCATGCAAAGCTTTGGTTTTCCATTTATTTAATCTGTCATCCAGCTGTTTTTCCTTATATTCTGCCATTGTTTCTGTTGTTTTCATACTGTTCTCCATTTTCACAACCTGTAGCAATTTTTCTGTACTTTGGCTCACATAATCATTCAAACTTCATTTTTCTTCTAGTTTGATGAATTTGCAATAGCCCCTGCCCCCTATTTTTCATTGTAGGTACAACCTTTCGATAAAATTCTAAGAAGGCCTTTTGGATCATATCCTGTTGATCAACCTCTTTACCTTTATAATACATATATTGTATGCTATGAGATTTTTGTTTCTTCCTGGTCATATATGCTAACCATCTACCTGGTTTATTTGCATTGCAGAAAGTATTATGTTTAGCATATATCAAATTAGTAGCCACCTGATCTGACATCAGTATATTAAATTGCGCTCATAATAGGGTAATTGCCTCTTTTATCTTCTTGTCTCCTGGGTTTAATATTAACTCCTGCTCTTTCTTCTTAATCTCTTCCTCTAGTTCCTCCCCCCCCTGTCTACATCTATGTAACTTATTTAAATTTATTAGGACTCCTCTCATATACACTTTGCTTGCAT